TGACGATCCTTGAAACAAGCTTCCATGACAATTGATATTAATTAAATTCTCTTCTTCTACCCGTAATATAATTTTACCACATAAATATTGCGATTTTGTTTGATCTATTTTCATATTGCCATAATATTATACTCATTTAAATCATAATAGTGGTATTAGAGTGAGCTTCGAGGTTTGATTTTTGTGATTGCAACTATGAAGTATGATATTCCGCTGTTAGATCTCAATACTAGATTTTCGTGTTGGCAGGTAGAGATGCAAGTAGTGCTCGTTTAGATGGATTTGGATGATGAGTAGTTGAAATTTGATAAGATGTCTTCAACTTAGACTATGGAAAAGAAATAACATAAAGATTGAAAAGCCCTATCACAAATACATTTTCACCTCTTGAAGAAAATTCTTTAGGACGTTTTAAATGAGAAAACTGTAGCTGCATTTTGTTTAAAAGTGGAGCAATTATGCATGATTGAAAGATCACCTAGCTATTTATAAGGAAATTGTCATTAATTTGGAAACCTTGAAGGTCAAATATGATGAAAAAGATTTAGGGTTGATATTATTGTGTTCGCTGCCCATTTCATACATGTCATTTAGAGGCATGATCTTATACAGTCGTGATACTTTCACCATTGAAAAAGTTTATAATACTCTGTTTTTAAAGAAGAAGATGAAGCATCTTATTGGATCTGAGATTCACGGAGATTGTCTGGTAGTTGATGGTGATTATGTGAAGGGTACATTAAGTCTAATTACAGTAATAAAGTCTATAATTATTGCAAAAGACAGGGGCACCTTAAGAAGGATTGCTATAAGTTGCAGAATAAAGAAAAATCAGTTGCTCCAAAGGAAAAACAATAAAGTTTTTTAGGTAAAGCCAGTATTGCAAAAGATAATGATTGAAAAGTTCTGGTGAATTCTGACAGCGACTCCAAATCCGACAAGGATTGAATTCTTGATATAGCTTGCAATTTTCATGTGTGTCCTAATTAAGATCTATTTTCAGCATATGAAACATTTTTCAAAGGTTTTGTTATAATGAGAAATAATTTACCTTGTAGGATAGCTAGTATTATAATGATTAGAATTAAGATATATGATGTGATTGTTAGAACACATGATAATGTGAGACATGTTCCAAATTTAAAGAGAAATTTTATGTCTTTTAGTACCTTTGATTCAAAAGGGTACAAGTATACTTGCACAAGTGGAGTCCGAAAGGTTAGCAGAGGTACTCTTGTTGTGTTGAAGAAGCAGAGAAGGTCTCAATTGTATGACTTGGTTGGTTCTAAAGAATCTTTGGATATTAATCAGCAGAAATTAGGGACTTGGGTGGATTTTGAGTTTGGTAATGTACCGTTGGAGTTTAGTTTGGGGTTCTATTAAAGAATACATCTCAGTTAAGTTCAGAAGTTATCAGTAATGCCGTTGTCACCACCACTAGCGGTACCATCTTATTCAATTACTAGAGACGTACACAAATGAAATATTAGGCCTCCACAAAAGTACGATAAAGCCAATTTAGTAGCTAATGCTTTAAGTGTAGTTGAAGTTAAGTCCAGTAAAGAACCTTCTTCGGAAGCATTTTACGTTGATTCTGTTACAGGGTATATTTCTGTCATGTTTGATAATTATTAAGTTATTTGTGATTTTATTGCTCATAGGGATAATTTGAGCAATTTTGGGGTCCAAAGTAATCCTGCGGAGTAGTGTTTGAATTTAATTGATTTCCAGTTATTGAGTTTGTCCTAATTGAGCTTTGTGGAAAAGATGAAGATTTTTTTTATTATTATTTGAGGATTTTTTGGTGGAGAAATTTTGAAGTTTTGTTTATTGCCGTGAAATTTGTGATAATGTGGAGTTTATTAGAATTAGGATATGACCCAATTCCTATTTGAAAAACTATTTGGAATTTTATTTGAAGTCGACTTGGGATTTCTAAATGAAGTCTATTTATGAATTCTGGTTGGAATTCAATTTAGGAGTTCAATTGGGGGTTTGAAATTTGTTTTGGGCTTGAAAAAGTTATAAAGGAGTCCAAATTGTAATAAGAGAAAAAGGAAACAACTAACGACACCCACTATGCGCTTTGATCACCGTTCGAGTGCTTAAAATAGGAGTTTCAGTGCTTGCTTACCACCGGCCATGGCTCGATAACCTCAAGACGCCGCAGAGAGGCGGTCTTATTTGGGATTTTAGGCAGGTTTTGGTATCATATTTTATCTCACACTCTATTAGGCCCTGTTTGATAGCACACATTTTTTGTGGAAAATGAAATTTTTTTCTATTTTCCAACTTTTATAGTATTTGATAAGTAAAATTTTTTCGAGAAAATATTTTCAAATTTTTCACATTTTTGAGGAAAATAAATTCTTGATGTTTTGGTGGGTAAATATTTTCCAGTTTTTTTCTTTTTTCTTGACAATTGAAAAAAATTTTAGACACAATGGTCAAAAAAATTTTCGCTTTTATTGAGAATTTCCATACAAAACAAAACCAAACGAATGGTATTCGGTATGATTATTTTTTTTGTCATTTTTTTTTTTTTTTGGGCAATTGGAACAAATTTTATACCAAATGGTAGAAAATATTATCACTTTAATGGACAATTTTCATAAAAAACAAAGCCAAACGGACACCAAACTTTCAACATTTTCCATGAAAAATTATACTAATCAAACACAATTAATTACACTTCCCAGTAAAACAATTTCTAGGCAAATCAATTCCCTCTAAAATATTTTCTTTCCATCCATTTTCCACTTTCGCAATCAAACGGACCCTTATTCTATGGACGTCATTATAGTCCAACTCTTAACACATTTTAGACTCTTCTTGCATTATAAATATGAGTAAATCTCTTGAAAAATCAATCCTTACATTCTACACAATAGTTTGTAATTCTCTATTATTGATATTAATGAAATTCTCCTTTTCTGCTCAAAATATAATTTTATCACGTAAATCTTGTATTCTTATTTGATCTATTTTTCATATTTCTATATTATTATACTCGTTTAAATCATAACAAATTAGATGGAAGAATCAAAAAAGTTTTACGCTCTCTTTTCTCTTTCTTGTTTCTTATTTCCTCTCACGTGTTAATTATATTTTCTTTTTCCTAATATAAATTAAATTTGAATTATAAACAAAGTTCATTCAAGATGAGTACATCCTTTAATTAGGCATCGTTGTTGCGTAGATTGGGAGCAATTCTATTGTATATTACTGTTGATAAGCGGTACTTACCAATTATTGATTATGTGCCATTTATTCGATTTGTCATCGTAAATCTTGTCTTTCTTTCGAGTTTTGCTACACAAACATAATATTCGACATAGGTGACGACACAACACACATACATGAAGAGGTCGATATTATTTAATTTAGGTCGAGACCCACATGCAATGTGAGTGATCAGTCCACCCATATGTCAAGCATTATGTTCATTTAGCTTAATTCTTTTCTAAATGCCAGTATGCCACATACATGCTTTAGGACAAGTAGTGGTGATAAATAGCATTGTTCAAATTTCAATTTTTTGCTATCTAGATAACATTTCAAAATGCATTGGAGATGCTCTAACTTCATCCACCCCATTGAAATTAACCCGCTAATTTCACCTCTCACCAAATGTCACCAAAATAGTCACTAAACTTTAATTAAATTTTAGTTACACCATACAACTTCAATTTAGTTTTAAATTTCACCATCCATTAGCTCTCAAAAATTGATAAAAGTCTATTGATTTATTTTGTTTCTAGAGTGCCAATAACTGATTTAAGTGAAAATTTAGTTTTGGAGTGACTAGTTACGTGAAAGACGATAGGTAACAGAACGAGACAAAATAGTGAAATTTAAAATTAGATTGAAGTTCAATGACCCTACTGCGAATTCAAACTTCAAAGGTAACAGAACGAGACAAAATAGTGAAATTTAAAATTAGATTGAAGTTCAATGACCCTACTGCGAATTCAAACTTCAAAAATAATTCCATTTAAAATTAACTGTCGATAAAATTAAAATTTACCCATAAAAAATCACCAAATGTTACCAAACTGAATGTTTGCACTATGAGATTACAAAATACACTTACCCGCGCACCATCCCAAACGACGCTTTAATTCCCTGCCCAATAGTCAATTCTGGGGCTGGTAATTGTATTTTAATATTTAAAATAAATAACTAAATTAGAAGAATAAAATGAAAATATTTTACTCCCATCACATGAATCTCTCAAAAATTCTCAATGGGACGGTCGCAAGGACTGCCTCGGCCTCACCTCACCCCACCCTATGGTCGTAACTAATTTGAACTCAAATATTTAATGGACTCAGAAGCCAAGAATTCTCAGAGTATAAAATGGGCACCGCGTAAAATCCCCTAAAACCATAAATTGTCATTAAATAGTTTAGAAAGACTTTTAAAACCTTACATGGTGATACTATTCTTCTAATTTCTAGTACAAGACACATAATAATTTGAATTAAGCCACATGTACATTCTCCTCCGCGTTGAATTTTTCCAAACATAAATATAAATTTTATGCTATCATTTGGTACTATTTTTGGGTAGAAAATTGAACTTCTCCTAACCTGAGGCAGAACTTGAGATCACAGAAAAAGCCTAAATGGAAGTGTGGAAATAGGCGAAACATTACCCTTAGGCAATGCATATAATGTCGACCCTAATGTCCAAAGTGCAAATGACAAAATTTTAACTTATTTTTCTTTCTGAAAGCTATCTAATTTTGTTGGAGACCTGACATAATTGCACAAAGGCATTAGACAGCAAAGAGGAAACTGCAGAAACATCAGTCAATGATGCTGAGAAACAAATAGCTTTGTAGTCCAATTCGAATTAGAATGCTAGAAAAAACAAAAGAATGAACATAATGACGAACAAACAGGATAACATTCTGTCATACGAGTTCAGCAATATCAAATAATGTCGAAAATCTTTCAGAACGCCAATGTTTACCACATGAACTTTTGAAACCAGTTTCATTGTAATGAGGAAGATTCATCTGGTGGTTCACCTGTAGGCGGAGTAGAGCCAAAATCAAGATTAGGGTAGATTCCATCAGGTCTTTCCCGGGGTTGGATGGACAGCAACTGCGTTGAATCACCCACAACATCGGCCCATCCATAATGGGGATCAGCCCTTTAATAAGTAGAATGGATTAATTTCTAGTACGTCACAGAGACATAACATGCAACCTATAATTTTATACACAAATCTACAAAGATTGACACAAGAAGAAGATAGAGCTATTGTAGATACACTGGGATATAGTGACTCACTCATAATATGTTTCTTCATCTACCACAATATCCCAGCTTTCTCCAGTTGTACTTTTGCCATACTTGTGCACTTTGCTGTCACACAAAAAAAAATTCATCAAGTTCCATATCGATGAGCTGATTCTACAAGCATCGTAACTTTTATAACAGGTAAAGTAAAAGTTACTTTCTATTTCCAAACATGTTTGGATAAGTTACTTTTGGTCACTTTTAAGCAAAAAAGTTGCTTCTTATGAAAGTAACTCCTACCTCACTCAAAATAAGCAACTTTCTTTCAATTATCTGGTCAACAATATCTTACTAATATTATTGTATGTGAACTTTCTAAGATTAGCCAAAGCATGCTCTACAGTAGATATTTTTTTCTTTTATTAAGCATTGTCGTCAACCTTGGAAGCACAACAAGTGTAATGAGTCGTGAAAGAAGATTGTTCTTTGCCAAAGGCACACGTACCTATTGCCAAAGTGCTCTTCACCCCATGTTCTCGACCATCCTATAATTTTGATAGAAAAACAGTTAAAATCTTGGAAGCAGAAATGCCATTTTTCAAAATTAAGCATGATGACTATCAGTTTCTTGCACTAATATGATTAATCAAATAAGTGATTCTGTTGTGATAGTATCTCAATGGTCAAGATTATATAATTCATGATTTTATAGAAGTGAAAAAAAAAAAGAACCCATCTAATTCATTTAATCTTCTCACGAAGAAATCATGAGACTGGTGATCTATCATCTCCAGTAGAAATCAAAAAATGACATAGTTATTGGATAAACTCACAGTTTGCCTTGTTATATCTGGTCTGGGATATAATTTAAATTCAATTAGCAAGGAGTACCTACTCATAGAAGTACATGTACAACCATATGTACCTCCCCAAGTGTTTTGCTGCCCTACCATATCTACCAACCACTCTACCTTTTCCTGATCTACCATTTATATATCTCCACAAAGATTTTTCTGCTTTTCCATTCATTTTCTTGATCTTTTACTACGTTTAATCTACATAGCTTGTATACAGATCAAGTATACATGCACATTTGATAGTTTAACAACTCATGAACTAGTTAAAAGAAATACATAGCGTTTGTTTGTTTCCCATTTTTTTGTCAAGTAGAAGAAATCAGACCGTTGCTCTTTCAAAAAGCCACTTCTTTATTTATTTCATCCGACAAAAAAATGACATCTTACTGTACAATTTATTCTTTTCATTTCACTTTAACTATTCTGCCCCTTCTCTCCAAAAAAAAATGCTCACGGTACTTGGTTTTGAATTTCACCCCTTTCCAAATGAGACTCAAAGCCAGGTCACTAACCAGTTAAAAATGATGTTTGACCAGCTCAAATTATAGTTTCAGCTTTTACAAACATGCATATAATATGTTTAGATATTATTATTATAATTATTATCAATTTTTTTTATTATTTTTTTTGAAAAGTAAGTTCTTACTTTTTTATATGTACATATAAAGAATAAAATATATATCAAGCATAGAATGTCTCATTTCTTGATGGGTTTACATTTCAGCAGGCAAGTGATCATAAAGCAAAAGATTGCCGTACAATAGAGTAAGGAGTACACGTACTTTCACCACTGGGTGATACATGCCATGTCTCCCCTTGACGCGAACCAATGCCAGCAAAGAATTTTTCTTCCCACTTGTCTCCCCACTTGGTACCAAGTTCAGTCTCAGCCCATTTGTCTGTCCTGGAGATAAGCAAAACGAAACTTCAGTAACCTACAGAAGAAACAGCCAGTTCGAAATTTCCAGAAAGCCACAATTTTACTATCCATGCCACCATACGTTTCAACAGTTCCTGTGTATGTTTTTCATGCAATCACAGTGATGAATAGGAACGGAAAGACACATCCTAAAATGAGTTTTTCTTCGGCTAAACAAAGTTCAGCATCAAGATTCACATAACTATTGTGCTTCTTCATTATTGATATGGAACTTTCTACCCACTGTGGAACAAAATTATGAAACAAAAAACTATTCCCTAGCATAGCACCGGTAACCTTATAAAAGGTCCAAAGACAGAAAAAAAGAAACAGGAATCAATAGGCAAATTTCTGAAGAGATTCTAAAGGTGCTGAGTAATTTAGCTGAAAGATTTCAATGTCGTTATATCTTGACCTAGGTCCTGACCAATTAGAAAGAAAAAAATAAATAGAAACATAGGTATGACAAGCTATATCCTGGAAGAAAGTGAAGAAAAGAAAAAGATACCATTTTAGGACTGATCCTCTTCCATCATAATGCTCTCCCCACTTTTCCCACCATGATTGTTCATTCAATCTACCGTATTTATGTGCCCCTTTCTCAGTCCAGCCTTTAGCATCATATTTTTCCCACCTGTATAGAAAGCATATTTTTGACTAACTTTGATCAGATATTTTTGCTGGAAGATAAAAGAAATGATATGAAAAATTTTCCTTACCAATTTTCATACCACCCTGCATTTTCTGTTCCTGATTTTGCTTGTTTCTGTGCACTTCGCTCTATCCTAGCTAGGTTACTGCAGTTTAAGAGTGGATTAATATTGTGGTACTGAAAAACTATGTAGTTGGGAAACCAAGAAATTATAATTACAGATTCTTTTAAGATTTTTAAGGTAATAAAGAATGTGAAAGAGAGAGAAAGGGGAGGACATTAAGAGCCAAACCTCCATTCATCTTGGTGAAGAACTTCTCGCCACGTTTCCCACCAAGAATCTCCTTCCGCATTCCTTCCAGATTTCTCAACACCTGTCATAGATCAAACAATTGCAAATTTTCACTGCAGGAAGATAACTGCCTCGAGATCTTCTAGTAGAAGCTACAAAAGAAGGTGCCCAACAGAAGAATTAACTGGCAAAGCTGAAAATTCCAAAAAAATACAACCAACTTCCAGTACCTAGCTCTTTGTATCCAGTCCAATCACTTTTCTCCCACCACTGTCAAGGAGATCAACAAATCCAATTAAATGCATCCACCTGGGATGATACTTGATAAGGTCATAAGAAATTAATATATATGAAAAGGCACATCTTATATTATAATTAGCACAAACCATATGATACTGTAAACAATGCTATTGGGTCTAGACATCAATTCATGCAGAAAGGCAGCACTGCCCAAGACAAAAAAATTGGATCAGATTATGACGAGCTTATTTTTATGATAGTTTTGGTCTACCTTTCCCTCTTTTGACTTGTTATATCGAGATCACATTGCTTACATGAATGAGGACCTATTTAGGCTTTTGCAGAACATGTGCGCAGAGTACATATTTTATCCAGGCAAATTATGAAAATGTTATTCTAAGATAAAAGCAATGATAGTATTCTACCAATAGTGTTCTTTAGGTTTCTAATTGCCCACAAATAGTATTCTACCAAGCATAGTTACTTTCTAATATAAGCTTACTTTAGCTCAATATCTAACTTCTATTCAAAAAAGTAGAAGAGGAACAAGCAGAAGTATCCACAGAAGTGTTAGAAGTTGGAGAATGATGGAAGAACAATGATGCAGGCTACTTTTTCGAGTACAGGTTTAGTTTTAAGGCCAGTCAACTCCACATTCTACGCAAGATATACGATCCACGATGAACAAAAAAAGAGGCCTTTTAGTGAATCCAAATGGTAAGACAAAGTTGGCAAAGTGTCTTGAATTCATCACTTGTAGAACCACAACTTAGCTTCTAATATCAGAGACACGAAACACAATCCTTTATTCGTTCCGCTTTTGGCATATGATGATCTGATAGTGTTAACTAACCATCATAAATGAGTTAACACTGCTTGAAATAATATCACCTTTTGGAGCAGAAAGATAGGTGACAAGGATATTCACTTCCAAGCAACACATTGCCGTTAAAATTAACTGATTAGATATATTTTTTTGTTTTTTGATAACCGTGGATGTTCGGGCCAACTTGTGCGCACCTCGACTAAACTCACGGGGCCCTAAAGTTTACGGCAGGGTACTCACCTCAGTGGTACTGAGGGGACTCGAACTGGTGACCGTTGGGGAAACTGATTAGATATATCATACTACCCATTTCTTAATACACCCCAATATTCTATAAATTAACTTCGATTATGTCATTCTGAATTCTTGCATGATAATTACTAAGACTGTTGTGTGGCCTTCATAACCAGCACAGTATATTTTTCTCAGGTGAAGTTAGAATCCCCCATCCTGCCTATCCTTAACTTTTTAAGTCATCATTTTTTCTTCTGAAACTTCTAAAAACAGGGGTTCGGTTATTGTGCATAATCTGAGGAAATTCTATAGCAACCACAGCTTAAAGCAATAAACAATAAATTTTCATTAGCAATATTGTAATCTACCCCCACCAAAATTACCATGATTGTTTTCATTGCCTTTCAGTTTCACCAGACTTGAAGCTACAGATTTTTTCGTACTTTTATGAAAAATGCAACTTTCTTTTGCTAATTTCGAGGTTGGACAAACAATAATGACTTCTCATGAAGACCTTCACATGCACACACAAAAAAGAAAGAAAGAAAAAAATAAAAATAAATAAATCCATCCGACTATCTCTTCCACACACAGACAAACAAAACCATGTTCGAGTTGGGAGCATTAATATCAATGATACATTGGGAGAATGCATATTTAACCTCTTTGTTTCTTTCTTTTTCTCTTCACTTCCTTCCTTCCACCACCCACCTTTCACCTTAAAATGGACACCAATTTTATGAGTTCAGCTATTCCTTATGTATTATACGCTTAATCAAGAATGGCATTTTAACTTTGTGGTTCTTGAACAAAGCTATATCTGTAGTTCTGAGATAAAATATCAGTGGTCTTAAATGGTCACAGAGGAATATAATTCTTTGAACCCTTGAAATTAATTCTCATTAGTGTACTTCAATGTCAATGCAAAATAAAACAAAGAAGTAAAGGAATAATAACAAGTGCAAGTAAAATGCATAGAGCATTGTTCTTCTTTAGGTTTGTTCACATTAAACAACTCCAAAATCCTTTGCGCACCCATTTCACAATAACATTCATAGAAACATTATATAATAATAAGTACGCACAGTTTCTTTCCACTCTGAGGTGCCATCATTGCTCTGACCACCCATTCTCGTCCATCTACATCTGTAACCGTTTTCTCCAAGATCCTCCCCACTTTCTCGATACCAAGTACTGCCATCTTCATTGGTCCCAGATTCATTAACATTTTCATTTAACAAACTGATACCCCAGTCTTTCTCGTTTGCAATACCGGTATCTACAATCAAAGGAGTAGTAAGCACAACATATCTTGTCAGATTACATGTAAGAACCAATAATTAACATCATTCATATGCATATGCAACAATAAGATGCTCCTAGATAGTCCTATGATTGTCTGAACTGAAATATGACATAATTAGAAAACCAAGCATGGGAATCTAAATGCATATTACCTCGTTTAGGGGGAGAATCACGAGACTGAGGACCTGAATTTCTTGGACTGCAGCGAGGAAAGAATTTATCTTGTTTTGAAATAAATCGAGGTCTGCAACATCAATAAAATTTTCAAAAAATAATAAACTTTGATCTGATATATATCTTGCATTGCAATGGGGGTTTGAAATATTACTTTTTCATCCAATAATTCTTTTTTCCATATAAACCTTCTGAAAGACAATAGGTCACAGTCCTATCACTTATGCCAAGTATCCTAATCACACTCGTGTCTCCTAGTTACAAATTCATATAATTTCCCTCGGTATTATGGCATCACAAAACCACTCATACGCTACTCAAACATAGCCTTCTCCAACCTCACATACCTGATACCATGGACCCACTATAAAGCTACTATATATCAATCTTTAGTATGTAAACTAAGGAATCATTTGACGCTTTATGCAGCAAACATTCATGGAAACACCTCACTGGTGAAGTACAATATCTTTGTGTCAAAAATTAAAATTTATTGCATTTTTATATCAATATAATCTTACAAAATGTATCATTTTAGTGACATTTTACTGTTGCGCTTGCTAATTTTTCATTTCCCCCTTGCTTTATTTTGGATCTTTCTGAGTATTCTCTTTCTTCTTCCTTTATGTTGAAATGTTCTACATATCTGATGCAGCTGCATGACTTTGCTGAACAGTACAAATATGTACATGTACGTGTACATAAACGTGCTAGAACTACGCAAGTTCTTTGGTTTATTGGAAGAAGAAACCACGACATATACCAATTCTTCCATTCTAATGCAAATAATCAAAACTTGGCAGCTCTAGTTACAAATTGATATTATGTATTTTCACATATTCCAAAGATTTTTTCTCAATATAGAGGAAAACAGAGCATGTTGCTATCACAATTACTACTGCAAAGTCAATATCTTTTATTTAGCAAGTTCACTGTTTACTCGATTCCAATGCTTTGGAAAAAAATTCAGCTCTTTACAAGTAGAATTTAGCTATCCTTTTAAAAGGGATAATCCACTTTTTCTTCTTTTACAGGAATAGTAACCTTTTGAAACCTTTTGTTTAATGAAAAGGGAACTTCTTTGTTCTCTGTTCCTCGTTAACCAAAAGATAAAGAGAAATTGAATATAATAGAAGAAAAAATAAAAAAACAGAAGACATACTGATGAGAAGCAAAGCGCATAGCCGGGGCCCGAACCCGAGAATTCTGACTCTGCTTCATGTCGACTCTCCAGTCCTCAGACTTCTCCACATTCTTACCCGATCCTGTAGCCATCCGAATCGGAACAACCGAATCCGAACAGCAACACTTAACGACCCCCCAATCACTCATCAACAGCCTCCTCTTCTTCCTCCGCACTTCCAAAACCCCATTCTTATCATTCAAAGCCGCCACATCACTTCTCCTCAGCCTGAAATTAAACGGCGTCATGAATCCCCTAGAAGCCGCAGCAGCTGCCATATATCCTCTTTTTTTTTTTTTCACAGAAATGCCATTGACCAGAAAATCGGTGCAGAAGCTTCACTCGACTACACCCTAGATTCAAGAAATCTCTACTGTGTTTTCCTATTTTCGAAAATAAATATGTGAAAAAAAACAGCAGATTGATTAATAAGAGGGATAGTGAGAGTAGGGAAGTACAGGCATTGGTGGAGAAAAAATTGGAGAGAATCTTTGTATTTGGTTTGGGACACAGATTTCACTCTTGATTTGAAGCTAATCAATCTGCTGCTTGATGCCGTGAATACATACATATATATATATAGACACGATTTGTACATATATGATGTATCTATATATTCTTGACTACATTAAAAAATTGGAGAGGAGTGTGTGAAATTCTGAAATGGGTTAATTGTAGGGTTGATGGGGGAATGAAACAAAACAAAAGGTTGCAAATCCCGGGACTGAAGCAGACACGTGAGCAAAGCAGAGAGGAGGAGAGGGGTGTGGGCCCGGAATTTCAGATTTGAATCCAGATTCCCGTTCTTGATTTTCCACGTGGCATTTTATGATTCACTGAGGATATCGGCATGTTTCATTCACCAACTCATCATAAATCTCAAGAATTTCGGCACATTATTGAGAAAATAATGCATTTTATGATGTGATATGATGAAACATAATGTATTTTATTGAAGGAACAATGCTAGAGTTACATCAATTTTGACAGCCCTCTCACATACATTTGGTGGGGTCCACGATTAAAATAATTGTCGCCCCACCCATGAGAGAGGGCTGTCAAAATTGCTTCAAAATTGCTGTACAATTTTGACTGTACATTAAGCATTTTTGTTATTGAAGTATGTGCGGTTAAAAATAAATTTTGAAAGAATGGATCTGTTTTAAGAATATGGATCAAACAGTGACTTATTTTGCAAAAATCATATGCTTAGTGAAATTTGGGCCATTAAGTTTTAATTTAATTTGGTTGGACCGTTAAACTTAAATTGAACTTTAATTTCAAATTCCATCACTATGTCTATCTTAACAAAATTATTTATGAAAAAAAAAAGTGTTGGTCCACATATTTTTCGAGAGATCGTTCTTTCTATCAATGAATTTGACAAATAATTACAACTCTTAATGATTAAATCCATTAAAAGATTTATCGGAGTGATTGGATGTGCATATAAAGATTTTAATAGACATAGGCCGTGACATTATCTTAAGGGTTGTGATAAACTTATCAAATTTGGTAGGAGGAAAAATCTCATTATCAAACTAGATGAACAATCAATTTCTAAGTCTTAACTCTTTGTGAAATTGTTATGTACCTCTCAAAAATATGTTTCTCTTTAAATTTCAACTCCATGGGAAGTTGGAAAATAAAATTTTACTTTATAACATTAGACATACGGTGGGTGTTTGGTGGTGATTAAACTTAGATTTTTAGTAAATTGTGATAATAAAAAAATTTGAAATGTGTGGTTGAAAAGTTGTGGAACCCATGAAAGATGTGGTTAATATTGATTGTATGACTTTCACTTAAATTAAAATCTGATTTTAATTCGAAACAAACAGGGCATGTACAATGATCACGTGATGATTAAGAAAATTTGACAATTTTTGTCTCAGAATTGATTGTGCAACTGAAACGAAAGTTGTAACATTGTTAATTTTTTTAAAGGTTGAACATTAAAATGTTCAGACAATAGTCTCAGGACCAATAGTGCATAAAATAATAAAAATAAGTTAAGGTGCATTTAAAAGCTCTATCTTCTTATCCTTTTTATATAAAAATATATCTTATTATCCTTATAAAATGATAAGCCGATAGATATTGAGCAATGCTACGTAGATTTACTAGGGTTACGATCAGGGGCGGACGCAGAACTTAAAAGTTAGATGGCACAATCGAACTTGTAAAAAAGTTGGAAGAAATTTTACAATAAAAAATTTACGTTCAAAAAAATCATACCTCATATAATTTTACATTTGAAAATTTACTTGGAATATGACTTTTTCGAAAGTAAAATTTCGAAAAAAAATTTATGTCATATTCCATATAAAATTTCCTAATAAAATGATGAAAATTACATTGAAAAATTTGTATCGCAAAAATAATAAATATTAATGAAATAATTGAATTTTTTAAAAAAAAATACGAGTTAGATGTCTTTTTTTGAAGACTCAGGTTTAACGTATTTTTAACTATTTTCGAAATTTATTTGGATTATTCGATATGCCCATAATGTAGTTTTTGAAATAAGTTTTGAGATGATATAAACAATTTGTATATTCGATTAGCGTACGATCATTGGAGAATTTTTAAAATTAGCATGTTATCGAAATTCAAAATTATTGTGATTTTGCCCCTATTTGGTGGAGATCGAAATCAATTTTTTAGTAAATTTTGATAAAAGTTAAATATATATGGATTCCATGAAATATGTTATTAAAATTAATTGTTAAGTTTGATTTAAATTAAAATTTAGATTTCAATCGTTACCAAACACGATTTTATAAAAAAAAATCTCAAAAGTTTGGGGGGCATTTGCTCCCCAGGACCCCCCACCCCCCAGGTCCGCCCCTGGTTACGATCCCAATTTAGATGGTGTTAGATGGTATTGAGTAATGAAATATGAAATTAAATTACTTATTTAATCTCACATATTATTTAATGTCACAATAGCAATATCTAAATTGGAGTTATAATTCAAGTAGAACTAAATAACATTACTCATAGATATTTTGTAGCTAACCAAGAAATCAAATTTATTGGTTTTATGGGATAATTAGCCCATGTGCTCCATTTAAAAAAAAAAAACTCTTTTTTCAAAATTCATTTTTAATTATATATTTTTTCATAAAATAATTTACACGTAAATTCAAGAAAAAAAAAAATCTTATTTTTTAACAACACTCCAAAAATCACTATTCCAAAACAATTTCCCCTAAAAAAATCACTATTAAAACTATCACAAATGTTAGACTACTCCTTGGTTGTGTTTTGCAAAATCAAACATATTACCTTGTATTAATATTTGGTCAAACATAAAATATTAATTTCGTTTCAATGATTAAAAAAAAAGTAGGAATGTTCACTTATTTTTCATCTTCTTAAATGCCTGTTTAACAACTTTTTTTTTTTTTTTTGTGGAAAATGGAGTTTTAAATAGTGATTTTTAGGAAACTGTGTGGTTAAAAAATATGAATAAGTTTTGAATTTGCGTGTAGAATATTTTATGTGTGAATATGTTGTTAAAAATGAAAGTGTATAAAAAAAAATTTGAAAAAAATGGTTGTCAAACATAGGCATAATGAACACAACTAATCCTAATAACAAAACTATCCATATATTTGTAAATCGTCAAGTAGCTCTCACATATCCATTAGGTAGAGCTAGATTTCACTTTCTAACTTGAACTCATGTCCGATAATCTCAAGTGAAATTCATTTTTACGGAACTATAGAACAATTCAGCATAAATTAAGCAGTTTAAATAAAGGGCTGTAAGCAAAAATCGCCAAACGAAAAATCGAACCGAAACAGCAATTTCGAAACCGTCGGTTTGGTGCCACGTGGACCCGTCAACGAAATGATTTTGAACCAAACCAAACCGGTCAAAAAGGGTTTGATTTAGGTTTGAGAATTTTAATTATGGTTTGAAACCAAACCGGACCTGTGAAAAATATATAAAATAAAAAAAATAAAAAATTGATTTTTTTTGAAAATTTATCCAAATTTTCAAATTTGTAAAATTGAATAATTTTGTCATTTTGTAGATATTTTTGTCAATTTCTAATTTTTCATTAATTATTAAGATTTACGACCCGTCCAATCCTAATTATATATTAAAAAAAGGCCCAAATTTGAAAGAAGTAGCACTAAACAACTCAACCCAAGTCCATATACTCACAAGTCACAACCCTAATCTTCCAATTTTCTTTTCTCTCACTCGCAACTCGCTGGTCGCAGCCTCGCTCCCCGCGGCGCCTCCTGGTTTCCCCCAAATCATCAATGCCCTCGAAATCTTGAACCTTCCAGTCGTCGGTAGTGTACATTCGCCGGTATTATTAGACTATTTCAGGTTCTTGCATATTTATTTGATCGTGAGTAAGGGTTAAAATTGAAATTTTGTCACTTTCTAGTTGAAATTTGTTTACATATTTATTGATTGTGAGTAAGGCTTAAAGTTGAAATTCGG